ACAACGGGAGGAATAAAAATGCCCAAGAAACAAGAAATATCGCTACGATAGGCTCCTCCAACCATGGCTCTGATACCATATTAGAAAGTAGATTTAAGCCTAACTCAACCCACACAAAACCGGCTTGTAAGGTGAGATTTGCACCCACTTATATATTATAATTTGACCTTATCTCTAGTCGATGTGAGACTTCCAACATCCATAAAATTAAAAGTTAACCCATTATGGGGAATAAGGAACTAACCCTTATTCACGGGGGTTGGAAATAATGTGTATTCAATCTTTATGATTTCTACTATTCAATATATTTATTTTCAATTACTTGTGTTCTATTATCGATCTTAACTGCATGGATTTATTGATTATATATTTGTGGATATCCGATTATTAGACATGATGTGAGAACCTAAACTAAAATGAAATAACTAATTGATTGAGCATTTAGATATAGAGTTCATCATTGATCATTCTGAACATATGAATTTGATGTTTAATGCAAGCTTTTAATAAGAAAATGTATAAGACATTAGGATTTTTGTTAACAAGTTTAGATTTGTCTCTAAAACATTAGAGACTTATTAAATAGTGGTGTGAATGTTATAGTAGGATCTTAAAGTACATTTTTTAGTGTTTTTCAAATTGATTTAGTGCATGAAATTTAACCCATTTTTACTATATAGCAATTTTATAAATATTATTGCTTTCTGACTTTTAGATTTGTTTCATACATATCAACAACTTTTATTCTTTCTAAGTTATCAGTGTTAATTAATAATAAATATATTTTTTCTGAATGATACTATATTTGAATTTATCTATTTTATTATTCATATAATTGGGTACATTTGTCAATTTTGTAATATCTTCGAATATTAAATTTAGAAGTTACAAATTTCATTTCCCTTGATAATCCTAATATGCCTTAAACCATTCTTAAAGTTGGCCCCCTACTTTTTTTTTCCACTAGCTACTCCACTCTACTAATACAGAAGAAAAACAATGAGTTTTTGTTCAAAAGAAACCAAAAAAAGAGAGAAAAAGAATAGCAGAAGGTTGTTGCTCCCTCCACCACCACCACCACCACCGTTTCTTCATCTTCCCAATTTATTATTTTTTTCAAAAATATCCTTAAGTTAATTTTTTTTTTACTTTTACCATTAACTTTTTATACTTTTAATTAAAAATCCTAATTCTATACCCTCCTTCCAGCGCATACCACACTCACCCCCTCTCTCTCTTCTCTCTTCTCCTTCTCCCGTTTCCGTCACCCACCCTCAAAAAGAGACAAAAACATCAATGTATATATTTTGAGCAAAGATGCTTGTATTTACAGAAATTATTACAGAAATGGGAAAGAGAAGGAAAAGAGGGGGAGGAGGTGTAAGGGTTGGTGACGAAAATGGAAAAGAGAAGGAGAAAAGAGAGGGAGGGAGGTGTGGTGTGTGCTGGAATGAAGATATAGAATTAGAGTTTTTAATTAAAAATATAAAAAGTTAATGGTAAAAATAAAAAAAATTTGACCTAAGAATAATTTTGGAAAAAAGATAAATTGGGAAGGTGGAGGAAGAAACTGTGGTGGTGGATAGCAGAAGGCTTATCAATCTGGTGAACTAAAACATTGAATTTCAATTTACTAAGAGCACCTCATGCCGCTACTATGTCTACCCCCATTTGTTTGGAATCTATTTAATTCTCTAACCCACGCTTCAAATCCAAAGTGTTTACTGACCTCACCATCTATATTTACTTTTATCATCTCTCGACTTAAACACTACTATCTTCCTTCAATGGATTAAAGCTTATAAATATAACTCAAATTTAATTATCATTTCTCAAATTATATGACACATTTATATTAACATAAAATGTTATATGTTAATATAAATGAGGGAAAAATATTATTAAAAAACACATAAGAACCACATATTTTTGTAATTTTAATTAATAGAATATTATGCCCAACTTCTTACAGATTTATCACTTCACCAAGAGTGGTCTTTACAACACTGCAATTAATGCATTAAATGAAATTAATTGTGATACAAATAAATCAGAGCAGCATGGTTACATTAATGAGTATTGTACCATCAATTTATAAGTTAAGAATAGTCATGATTTTCCAGTGTGGAAAATAAAATCTAGAACTAATTTATATTTTAAAGAATATCAATTAAAATACATATTAAAAGATAACATACACAACAAGTAAAATTACTTTTATATATATTCATAATACATTTTAATATTTCAAACTAATATTTGAATTGTTTATACAATTTAACATTTTATATATTGTTCAACACAAAAAAAAAATTAAATTATTAAGTTAATAATAACTATATTTATTTACTTTTAAAATTTGAAAACTAAAATATATTAAGTTTGAAATATAAACAAATTCTAATTTATAACTAAATTTAGAAACTAAAAATATATTTAACTATTTTTTTTTCTTAACTTTTCTATTCTAAAGGTGTGTGTGGAGATTCCTAATCTCATTTCCATAGGATTTCATTACTAAGAAATCTTTCACTTTTCAAAAAATAATAATAACTAACAAAGATAGTATCATCAAATTTTCTGGGTGTTTCTTCTTACAAGAAGATAACATGCTCCAATGCAACGAACGACAATAATATAAGGACGAAGAGGAAAGTTAACCAACAACAATAGTCATATCTATACAAACCAAAATGTTTGTTGGAAGCTCTAGTCAGGTAGGTGTGAACAGATGACAAAAAAATTCCCTGAAACTATTGCTATTACACCAACAAATTCAGTCTAGGCAACTGCAACTTCTTCATCTTCAAAACTAAGATTCAATGTCTGCAATTTAAAGCCTGAACCTTGTATGGTTTCTACCAGTCCAGAAGCCACACCTGTAGCTTGAACAGTTGTCTGTTTCTTCAACTGAACCATAACACAAAACCATTAATGACATTGCAGAAAATCTAAGGATGTTTACTTAACAGATAGCCATATTCTACAAATAAAAAGCTTAATGGCAAGGTATTAGGGGATTCAGGAATATGATGTGTCTCAACAATTCAACTATGCCATGACTATTTTAAAGATTTCAATTCCATTATGGTGCCAACCAAGCCGGTAAGAAAAAACTCATGTTGAACAATCATCCAAAATCAAGAGTTGGGAGTTCATCTTTTGAAAAATTAAGCTTTGTGGCAACTGGCAATTGCATTGAAGTGTTTGCATACCTCTAAAATTGCAAGTCCCTCAGAAAGCTGAACCTTCAAATCAGTAACACCTTCTGTCTCCTAGAAAAATATATAATGAAACCATGATAACCAAGTGTTAAGGATAACAAGAAAAGTTTCCCAAAGACAATGACCATTGACAACATTGCAAAAGAATGAAGAAATATAACACTCAATCTGACCACCAAATTCTTACATAAGAATAGAATTAAAAGCTTGCCTATTTATAAAACCTTAATGGAAAGAATATATTAGATTAAGCTATTGGTGTGGCTGGAAACAAAGAACATAATCCCTTCGCATCACCTCCATTGAGAAATGCAGTATTTGTATGATAAGTTTACTTTCTTGAAGGCCAAAATTCAGTGACATGTTGCAATAATGAGCATGTAATTTGCACACTTTAAAGAAATAGAAAGGAGAGGGCACAAATGCTCCAGCATAAAAAGGAGTTCCAAGTCTCATTACTAAACAATACTGATGTGATTTGCCCTCTTTCATCACTATCCTTTGATCATCTTCCCACATTGAAAACTATATTGACCATGGTGTTGCAAACAATTTTGTTTTAAATTAAATTTGAATCTAACACACACAACTCTGGGTCTGAATAAACATCACTAACATTTGATATCTGACTTTTAACCTCCTACATCATCCTCTAGTAAAAGGAAACCAACCGACAATATTAACTCAATTCTGTTTCAGAGGAGTGATTTTAAAACAAGGACCTAAATCATAGAAGTTGTTGCTGCTATGTTCATTAAGGAACCAAGAACAAAATAACAGCCTGAGAAAACATATGAAGATACACGTCACCAAAGTTATATTTACATCAAGTTCACACTCACATTGAAGCAATTGAGAAAAGTAGAAGATTACCTCTAAAGCTTTGGTTAAAGCTGGAATAGCTGATTCACTCAATGTTCCCTCTGCCTTAATATATGCAGAAAGTAGATAGTCAGTCTCAAGAAAAGTGATACAATTACAAATAGAAAAGGTATCAACCTCAAGATCCAAATGCACAATTATTTTAGGGGAAAAGATAATTCTACAAGACTAGAAACTATGACTCAAAGCCAGGATATCTAATCTGTTGTAGATTTAGACAGCTAAAATGCTGATTAGTGTGAGAAATAGTTTAGACCATAGTTCATTGGCCCGTGATGGGAGGGCACTAAGGTTAGTTATTGAATAACCCTCTATCTACCCTTTGAATGATATTGTGCCAAACATATTGGAGCAACTCTGATCCAGGTGCTTATGCTAGTTCTAAAAGTCAAGCAGCTTATCATTGCAGCAAATGAGTTAATATTGAAACTGCTTATATAACCAAGTACAACCAAGGTTGGTTAACCATTATAAAAGCAATTTTTCAAGTCAAAACGAGGGTTCTTGAGTGAATGAAGAGATAAAATGAAACCCACTAAAAATAAGTTATTAACTTTGTTAGGTTTATCAAGGAGGTTCACTTTGTTAGGTTATCAAGGAAAAAGTTCATTAGGAGATACAATACCAATGAGATCTGAACTTAATGTGTAAATGGGTCTTCGCTCTTCTACATTCACATTTCTATCCAATGTGGAAAATAGACTCATCCTTGGATTCCCAACAACCTTAAGTTGAATTCAACCATTGGAGTGAAAATTAGTGACTGTTTAAACCAATTCTTGCCTTTCAACGCTCTTAGACCTTAGAACTTGGAAATTACCCTCCCTACAGGACTTTAATATATATATTTCACTTCATTGGTCAAATTTGTCCGCAGCACTGTTAACTCAGGGACTAATTTGAGCAACAAAATGCATATATCAATGTCTTAAGTAGTAATCTTCATTTGTTAGGATTAACATAATGATGCTATATCTTTCATAGATTAGTTTGCTTCTTTTCACGCTATATGGGATTAGTCTGGTTATTTGTTCTAACTTACACGACTTGGCCCCGTCTGGATTTGCAAAGTCACAGCTTGTCCTATCAGTGTTCAAATTGGATGCAATCCCCTTATAATTTTAACACCCCAATTGCAGGAAAAAGACACTGATCGATTCATTCGGTTGAAAAAAGATCAAAATTTGTGACTTTGGTAGGTGAGCAAAGTTCGTGAAAACTTCAATCCAAAGCCACATTGACAAAAACACAGTATTGTACCTGAAAGAACATGGTGAGAGTGTCCGATGGGGAAACTGGAACCACAACAGGTTGCTGTTCGGAGGTTGATGGTTCTTCACTCTCATCAGCGTTGAGTTCTTCTTGCTGGGTTTCTTCTTCCACTGCCTTCACCACGCGCTTCTTAACTGTTCGTGCCTTCAAAGATGAACTGCGAGTGCGCAAGGGGAAGCTGAAAAAGACAAAAGAGGGAGAAGAAGAGGAAGAAGAAGGAAGTGTTGAAGAAGAGGGGCGAATGGAGTGCAGAGAGAAAGATGACAACAGTGTCGCCATTTTTAAACACAGTCTCGGAAAAGAGAAGTTGCTGTTCTTATTTCGCACCCTATCTATCTATCTATCCAAACCAGAAAACAACCTCGTAGTATAACACATAAAAAAAACTAACAATTGTTTAATATTTTTTAATACATTTATAAATATTTTAACATTAATAATGTTTACTCACCTAACTTTTTTTTCTTTACATTTTTCATTAGTTTGAGTATTTTATTTACTCATACTTTTATTCGAAGAAACAAAAAATATAATATTTAAAAAAAAAATACAAGAATTTATACTTTAATTAAACAGAAATCTTAAAAACCAAATCTAAAGTACATGAATAATAAGTTGCCCAATGCCGACTTCGTAGTTCTCAGTTATGGTTTAAATTTTAACTTTTTAGCCCAACTTTTATGATATCGTCGTTTATGAATGCAAATTAGATTGATTGGGTATAAGAAAGAAGAAGAAAAATAACATACATGGTTGTTTGTAAATAATAATGTCGAGAATGAAAGATGAAAAACATCGGATCAATTTAATAATTCATATGGTTATAAAACTTCTAATGTTTTTACTTCCTAAAATCTGAAAATGAATCTGATTATGGTTCTGTTGTTTTAAAAAACATATTAGTCTCTTAAGTTTAAAAAAAAAACATTTTAAATGGACTGTTTGAGGACTACAATGGTTTTTAAATTTCATTTTAATCTCTCAAATTTAGTATTAACAAATTAAAACCACAATTCTTTCAGATTTAAGAAATTAAGATTATTTTAACTGGATTCATTCCAAATCTCTCAAATTTAGTATTAACAAATTAAAACCACAATTCTCTCAAACTTTCCATGAAGCAACGCCACACAGTATAACAGAATAGCAAGATCACTTTTTCATTCGCAGTTATTAATCACGCAGTATATATAAAAAGATATTGAAAGAAATTTTCATCTTGGGATCATGACAGAAATCAAATCAAGTCATGTTGGTCATTAGCTACTACAGTCGAAGGAAGGAAAAAACAAGTCATGGATTCCAATGTCACATAAGGAATAATAAACTAACATTTTCCGATGATAGTAAACACTATGGACGTGTCATTAGTTAAAACAAGTGAATTAAGACAAAATAATCAGACTCAACGCAAAATGCACAAAAATTACTTACAATATGTTATTACAGTATATGAGGCTAGAATGCCTCTGTACAAAAAAAGGTCAGCTACAGCTAGAATGCACCCTAGTTTTAACCAGTTGAGAGCAAACGAAGTCAAGCATTAAAGTGATTGGCAATCTTCTTGAACTTCACCATCTGCAAAAGTTTAGGAACCAAACACAAATAAAATTTATACAAGGCCAAGAGGTTAATGGTTTATTCTATTTTATATAAAAAATTTAAAGACCAGAACAAAATGAAGTCAGTGCAGCATTTTTGAAATTATAATGAAAATATAACAATCGAAACTTATAGGGAACTTGGAAGACCCTTGAGACTAACCTTTGAGATTTATGGCCAGGTTTGCTTGAGCATCAGCTTCAGAGTTATATTCCTAAAACATCAATTGAAGAATAAGTTTCTAACTTGTAAGTAAATACTAAATATAGAGCAAATGATAAAGTACTACCCTAGGAACATGACTGATCTTGAATGACAGGAACTTGTTCTTCAACTCCTTGGCCTCACTACACAAGGAAGCCATATTCGGGTGTTTGATTTTCCACAAACCTTGAATCTGTTGCAAAGGCAATCATATAAGATGGTGAACTGGTCACGAAATGTATATAAACTAAAGAGCCATTGTTGGTAAATCCCAACTCAACTCAATTATCAGACCATTAGGAAGGAATGGCTTCATAAATCCGAAGAACCTTTCATTAGGAACTATACTGTTACTTCAAATTTCAAATATGTGTGTAATATATCTATTTAATAAATAAAGTAATTTTCTTTATCACAATCCAGATGTTATTTTCAGCACTGAAACACAGATAACGTGGTAGAGAACAAAAGGGGGAAAATTGAAAGGTACTAAGAAAAGGCACACTTTCAAAATATAACAAACCTGGTTGCAGACAAGAAGAGAGTCTCCTTGGACAACGATGTGCTTATATCCTTTCTTCAGGGCATATTTCAATCCTAGTATTAAACTTCGATATTCAGCAACATTATTTGTTTGAGTTCCCACTCCTTCACGCAATCGATAGACCTAAGCAGAGACCAAATCGTTAGCTAATTCTGTAAAAAGTACAATAACCACAAGAATTGTGGCAGATAGTAGAGACCTTGCTCCCATCACGCAGTACAGCTCCTGCACCAGCTGGTCCAGGATTTCCTTTGGAAGCACCATCAAAATGAAGGGTGCACGAAATCTACAAAAGACATGTAAGATTTCATTGTCATTGTATAGTTACAAGATCATTACTTTCACGCATGCATCAATTAATGATAGAATAGAATGCTTGAAAGTTTAGAGTAGCATGAACAATAAATTAACAATCAACTAAATTTGCACACATCAACCCCTATGATGTAGTTAGTCTATGAATGCTTGAAAAGGAGTTAAATAAAACAGCAAAAACTGAAAAGTATATTTCAATCTTATAACTACAAGAACATACATATTTATTATAACTTGCAGATAAATTACAAAAAACTAAAATCAAAGAATTGCTATGGAGCTGAAATAGTCACCACCAATAAAACACATTACCAAGTAAAGAATAAATTGTGTGGACAGTTGTAAAATATAGTATGTATAGTTGTAAAATATAGTATGTACAGGCACTTCTACGATGATGTAGAATGTGAATGCCAATATTAGCAATTAGCAATGCAAAACATAATCAAAGAGGCTTACACAAGTAGACAACTCTGCTTGGGATCCAACTAGTGCATGATCTGGCTGTGAATTTGTTGGGAAGGAAGATGATCCGGCTAGCTTCTATAAAAGAAAGGAAAAGAAGCAAAAAGTGTAACTAATGACACACAATCAGCATCCTAAAGGCTAAGTAGTAAGAGTGTAAGATCATAGCACTAAGTGCTAATGTTGCTAACTACTATATTGGATCACTATTAGCTTAAAAAATTACAACATAAAGGCCTGCCCTGTCACTGAACAATCACACTGAGAGCTGATGGCACAGGTGGAACTCAGCAGCATGTAATTTTATTTTCACATCCGACAAATAACTAAGATAATAGGGCTCCAAAAGTCCAAATAGATGTGTAAATGAACTGGACAAACTTGATATGACACTCGAATTATTTACCAGCTTGATAATTCAGTTCATGATTCATGAACTAGATGAGTTAAACTTGAACTGAAACTTAAGCTCATTAGTTAAATTAACTAAACTTAAGCAAAATATTATTCAATTTGTCTGGTTCATGACTAACTAGTTACACACATATGAATTGTATAAGACATAAAATATGTAAAATTTATAAAAGAATACATAAGTAAACATTATGATATTTATGCAAGTAATTCCCATCCTTAACATTGTAACCACTGGTTATGATAGTCCCTAACCAAACAAAAGTCATTTCAGTTTCAACTGCCCTTTTTGCACAAAAAGTGTAAATGCAAGTTCTACAAATTGGTGAACCAAACCAAATAGTTCATGAACATAAGTAAACCCAACTTGAGTTGAAAATCTTGGTTCTTATAAGACTCAACTCGAGTTTGAATCAAACCAATTCTTATTGAGTTGAGCTGTGCTAAGTCCAGTTTGACTTAACTCATTTTCAATCCTATCTCCAAATATGTGCTTCACTTAAATAAATATCATTTCTTGAGGAATTTAAGTGTGATTTCCTGTTCAAGGATGTGTCATCGTTGATAACTTACGCTAGTGTCAGGCTGAATAGCTCCTTGCAAGTTCCTTGATGAGGAACTCTCGTCAAAAGTTCTTCCTCCAGCAGAATATGGATCCTGTAAAAATAAACCATCTCCTCTTGAAGTCAAACTTTTTTCAATTGCAACCAAGGTAGTTAAAATATAGATTATGATTAGGATTGTGAGCGGTTAACAAAATCATAAAATTGTAACACAAATCATAAATTTAACTTTGAATTTCGTGAAGAGAAGAGATGCACGTTAAGTGAACCAGTGCCAATTCTGAATTTCTTAAGATTACATTTAATTGGATTCGGGTGCCAATTTTGAATTTCTTAAGTTTACATTTAATTGGAATTGGGTGAAAGCATGCACTTGCACACAATGTAACTTACAAGAGTCTTAATTGCATTTTATTATAATCGAAGGCCATTAAACCAAGAAGGTGAATAATACAGAAAAAATACACTTAATTTTTAATTGAATTAAAATAAAATCCAATTAAGGAACTTGTAACTTACAACCATCCATTAGGTGCCCAATTAAATGTAAAATTATGAAATTCATAACATATAGTAATCTCTTCTTCTCCGTCCGAAATTCAAAGCAAAATCTACTGTTCGTGATACAATCTTCAGTTTAACTACCTTGCAAAAAACATGACCTTAAAAAACCTCTAAAAGTCCTTAAACTCTACAGTTACAAAAATGAATTCATGAAAAAATTACCATCCAACATAAAATGCAACGAGCTAAAAATTTCAACATAAAAGTTCAAGCTAACAATATCACAAAAAATGGTTTTCACCCCATACATAAGGAAAATTTTCAAGTACTAGAGAACAATTGAAATAAGAAGGGTGCCTCAAACCTGATAAGGACAAGCAAGAAGGCTTCCAAATAGCCCCTCATTCACATCAGCAGCACTAATAGAATACGGGGCTCCCTTAAGCCCATGTGCAACAAGGTATTCCTCAGTTTTCTGAGGTAAAGAATACCCTTTGTAAATACTTAGAGAGTCACTAGATACCTGCATGGAGAACACAAATACTCAAATGAGAATACCCTCAACTTCTATAGTAATCAAAACATAAAAAAAATTAAAAATTAAAATAAAATAAAATAAAATAAAGAACTTGCTGGAACTCAAGAAATAAAAAACCAACCCCAGAAATATAAAGCATATTCAGCGCAAAGAATTATGCCTTGTTTGATTCTCTTCTAACTACGCTGATTTAAACACTGCTCTATAAAACAATTCCACTCAAGTCAACAATCAATTTCTCATCTAAAACCTATGACGTTATGAAAATTGTTTCCAGAACTACTGTTTTCTTAAACAAAAAAACGGCAATAGAATAGAAATGTTTTCTCATCTTCTTGAACTACTTTCCTCAAGTACTCTATCCAACAAGATAAAACTCTTAGAAAACAAAAATGAACTCAAGAGACAAACAAATTTTAGAAAATAGATAACAGTTCTTAGAAACAATAATCATTCAAAGCCTAAATTTCCAAACTACAAAACACAGAGGCTTAGAAATGCACCCTGTCCAAATGCAGAAAAATAACAAAGGCAAAAACTATGCAACATGAAAGAACGTAACAAGGTGGGAGATGACATACAGAAGACGTAAGTAACGCTTGAATGTCACTGAAAGACTTGTAGATGCCAACAACATCTCTTTTCTTTACAACATAGAAAGCATCTTTCTCCTCGGCCATTGCAACAACGCTGCAACTATTCACATTCACAAAGGTATGATTTTTAGCTGAGGAAAACAAACAAACATCATGCGAACAAATAAACCAAAATTTGAAGATAAACATTATACAGTGAACAAACAAACCCAGTTGCAGAATGAATCACTTCCAAATAACCCAAAATTTGAAAAGCCACAATTTCGATCTTCCTGTTTTTTTATTTTGATGTGAATTTATGTTGAGTAACAGCGACAGAGTGAGAAAACATGTCAACCAAAAAGTCCTACTGTTAACCATGTACTGTACGTATTGTCATGCGTAGTAGGTGTTGGGAACACAAAATCGAAAGACCCAATTGCACAAGATGGCCCATTTAAGTGTTAACTGAATATAAGCACCTTAGAAAATTTTCTAAATCCCTTAAATGACGCTGAACATTTTACCATCGTAAATATTATATTTTGAATTTTTTATTCTAATTGTTTTTTAATGGTTTTTATTTATTGTGAGTTCTTATTTAATATTTAAGCTTTTAATATTTTTTAAAAGTCCTTTTTAGTTATTCTTTTTGTATTTTGCTTTTAATCTATTTTTAATAGGCTATGATTTTGTTATTTTTAATTTTATTTGTTTTGTATATTCTCTATTGTAGGATTTAGAGTATAAAGTTTAGGATATATATATATAGTTTTGTTGAACAGGTAAGGTGACTTTGTTACGAGTAAAGTACATATTAATTGTATATTATTTTATTAAAAGTGTTTTGATGTTAAAGGAGATAAGATAAGCTAGAAATGCGAGTTTTAATGGGTATTGTATGGGTGAGATATGTGATATTTATGTATGTGATATCTAAATGTTAATATTTTTTTTAAATTACTCAGTTATTTAAGTTAGTTCACTCTTATTTAAGTTATTATTCATGTAATAAGCTTCAATATAATTATAAAAAGCTTTGAGAGTATAAAATAAAAATAAACTTTATTTGTCATCCTTAACTAGGTCTTGCTGTGGAAGGTTTCAAGGGTTTCATTATCACATCTACACTCATAAAAGAAAATTTTCATTCCTTTAAAATATCAATATCCCAGAAATATAAAACTTTTGTTGTTATTCTCATTAGGTATTGTATATACCCGTATTCATGCTCGTACTCAGTTTTTTAGTGTTTCAATTTCACTTGGTTAATTTTTATAAAAAAATCACTGAAAAGGTAAATATAATATTATCAAATATTCATTTTCAAAAGAGTTTACTCAATGTCAAATATTTAGAAAAAAATAATAATTATATAAATTTTAAATCAAATTAATAAAATATCAATTAGAAATTAAAATAATAAAACTCATTCGTAATAAAACTGTTTATATTAAAACTGTTTAATATTAAAATAAATGGATCCCTTCTCTCTTTATTTATCTATATATATATATTTATATTTTATGTGATGTATGGATAAAATTTGATCCCATTTCTAACAAATATAGTGAATTGTAGAAAAAAAAAGAAAGAAAAGGAGGCAACAATAAAATTTGTTTTGAATGTATCAATGATTTTCATTTTATTTTTGTTTTTGTTTCAAAGGTCAAATGGTTCTAATCTTGTCTCTAAATATTGCAAGTAGGCCTCAAAGAGAAACCCAGTTAGCTATGATTTATCTGTTGCATCCCTTTAAAGAAGCCTCTTCTAAGTTACATCCACAACCCACCAACCTTAAAGATCTTGTGAGCATTTTAATTAAACATTCCAAGAACAATGCAACCAATGTGTTTTCCATTATTTCAAAGCTCTCGAAGGACAAAAATTTGAATAAATTGACAATTATTAGTTGTTTTAGTTTGTAAATCGTATTTAGATTAGACATGATTGTAGGTTCTTTGAAGTCCAAGATATTTTATGATGTTAGATTGGATTTGGATGAAACACTTAGTTTGTCCAACGAAGATTTAAGTGCTAGGTAAACAGATGAAATATCTCTTTTTTCAAAAAAATATTAAATCTTCTTCCAACTCATTTGAATATTTTATGTTTTCGTTGATATTATGGTGGAAACTTAAAATGTTTTATTCAATAACAATAGTAATAATAATAACATTGAGTGATAAAATATGTTAGTTTAATTTTAAGTTGGAATGATTATTGGGATTGAAATTATGCTGTATGAAGTATTTCTTATGGCACAAAAGCATTGTGAAGTATTAAAGTTCTTCCTTGTATAATTTTATCCCAAAAATATTATTTTATTTGTTTTCTCTTTTTTTTGTAATAACTACCATAATTAAATATAAATTTTGTGATAACGTGCCATAATTAAATATAAATTTTCTGATAACGTATCAGATTAAATATAAATTTTCCGAGAATATGTTTTAAGATATGATAATTTATCTTGTAATCACAAATATATTAATTATAAGGTTTATTTTTTTCTAATTAGTTCCTAAAGAAATAAGTAAGTTTTGGTTTAGACGTTTTCTATATAAATTTTATTTTCCTTTTTTGCCCCAAAATTGAAAATTGTTACTTTTGTTAGGCTATACTAATTAATATTTGTTTTAAATGAAAAGTTAAACGATCATTCCAGGGTAAGATACACTGCATATTAGTTTATTAAATTTATAAAATATAACTGAAAAATGGCTCTGGAAACTTGTCCAGTACATATTATTCATTTGCATATTATTTAAAAAATAACTGTACATATTATTCCCAATAATACACTAAAGGTTTTCATATTATATCATCAATCACAGATTATATTTGTAATTTTTGTGTTTTATACTAATTTTGTCTGAAACTTCTCCAACATGTGTCATCAACTGATAGGGAGGTATCAGAAGACAATTTGAATGATTCTTAGAAACTTAATTTTTTTACATTCATTTATATTATCTTTTTTTATTTTCCACTCTCTCATTTCTTAAAAAAGTACAAAAATTTATATTTTCGTGATATTTTATTTTTATATTCTGTATCAAATGAATGTAAAAAGCTGAGAGTTTAATGTACTATGTTAATAGTAACAGATGCAACGGAGAGAAAATGTTACTCATTCCATAATCTATTCTGAAAGATAATAAATACAGTTATGTTCCAACAAGATTCTCTCAATGATCCTAAAGCTTTACATAAGTGAAAATCCACAAGAAGCCAATAAATCACCACTCCCTGACAAAGTCTTGGGAAAAGAAATAAAAAAATTAATTTTGTTTGTCTATGATATGATAGGATCCTCAATGCTTATTATTGTTCTTTATATGGAACAATCAACTTTACTCTATATCTCATTTTCTTGGCAGCTGCTATGTAATCTTACGATTGTATCTTGAAGAACATCAACTGAAATCTGGACTCCACCAAGTATTGATGTAAAACACGAATGAAAAAAATTTGCAATCTTTGTTTCAGCAGACCTGTTCACCGATCAAGTCCAAACCCATTACGAGAAATGACAATCCTTGGAAGAGCAAAAAGTAGAAATGAACACCATGTGCTGACAAAAGGCTTCTTGCAGATGCTGTGAGCAAAAGAAGTGCAAGTGCAAGCTCCTTCCTGTAGAGTCTGTTTCTTTTTTTCTTTGAAGGGATTTCTGATTGCTTCAGTTTGCCTAATAGTTCCAAGCCAGACTCTGAGTGTCTTCTGAGAATCTTTTCTTCATTTGAAGATTTTGATTCTCTCTCAGCCAAGGCTAACAAATCTGACTCAGAGGATCTCCCTGTCTTCTTTGTCACTACCCACTCATAGGCACTTCCTAGCTGGAACAGTCCAGAAATCATGGCATTGAACTTTGTAACTGACATGGTGTTCTCAAACAGAAGATAAGGAACTAGGAAAGGGACAGATTTTGGGGCTGGAAGGATGTTCAAGAAAGACATGAAAATGGGGACATAACATATCACCCAAAGGGGTAGTTCAGATTCAGGGATGAACATAGTCAAGGGTAGTATGATGCAAAACAAGGTGAATGAGTAGAAGGGAAGTATAAGTTTCCTCAATAGGAAGAACAGAAATATCAAATTAGACTTCTTCCAGACTGATATCTGCATAGAACAAAATCAAATAAGAATTCAAAGAATTATGTACATGTCATAATAATATAAAGATTGAGTAAATACTGTAGGCACTTATTGTTTCACTGTCATCATCCAATTACAATCAATCATGTATGATACTTTTGTTTATTTTTCATATAGCTACTTCAAAAGTCAAGCTAATGACGATTTATGAGTGTGTTTGACAGTATATTTTTTACACAGATGTTGCATAGAAATTAAAGTCTTGAAAAAGAAGTGAAAAGTAATAATACCTTGGAAGTTAATATTGCAGGAAGACATAGCCTGAAAAGCTGCATTGGACCAGAGTGCCAACGATGTTGTTGTTTCTTATAAGCTTCATAAGACTCTGGTAATTCACATAGAACTTTGACATCATTAAGAAAAATAAACTTCCATCCATTCAGGTGAGCTCGGACAGCAATGTCCATGTCCTCAACTGTGGTCCTCTCCAACCACCCTCCTGATTCCTCCAAAGCCTTTATCCTCCAAACTCCAGCTGTTCCATTGAACCCAAAGAAATTCAAGAAATAGCCATTAACTTGTTGTTCTACCTCAAAGTGAAAGCACAGGTTAATGTTCTGGAGCCTTGTCAGTAGATTCTCATCTTTGTTCACAAAGGACCATCTAGCCTGGACCAGCCCCAAATCAGGTTTTCCCTGAAAATTGAATCATGAAATAATTTATCGATTGTTTACACTTTAGACCATACCTAGAAAACTTTTCCTTTATCCTTACTAGGGTTAAAGTATCAGTGCCTACCTTGAAATGTGGAATGGTTAGTTTGAGGAAATCAGGATTAGGCTGAAAATCTGCATCAAAAATTGCCACGAATTCGTAGTCTTTAACATAGTCACATGACATTGCTGACTTAAGATTCCCAGCTTTATACCCAGTTCTAATCAATCTGTGCCTGTACAGAATGTTGATCCCTTTCTCTTTCCAAGAAGCAACCTCCTCTTTGATGAGCATCTGTAAATTTCCATCATCCGAATCATCTAGCACTTGAATCAAGATTCTATCTTTTGGCCAATCAAGTTGAGCAGCAGCACCAATGGATTGGGAATAAACCTTAATCAGATAAAAAAACAACAACAATCAAGCTGGGCAGCAGTACCAATGGGCTGGGAATAAGCCTTAATCACATAAAAGATAACAAAAATAATGTTTCAGATTCTGAAGTAAAACTGGGAAATCATGAGCCTAAACTAGTTTGCTAAGTACCAATGATAAGAATATTCTAATTTTAAATTTAAGCTAGACATAATCATAATCATAATCATAATCATAATCATAGTCTTAAGCAAAATGTTTATCATATTCAGCAAGTAGAAGTATTGATTCGGTTACCTCTCTCTCATTGCACATGGGAATCTGAACAAGAACCATTGGAAAGTTTGAAGGGTCCTCAAGATCAGAAGCATCTGCATCAATGGTTGGCTTCAACTTCTTGTATTTGATCCAGAAGCATCCGATGCACAGAACAAGGCGATCCAGAGACTGAATCAAGAAGAGCACAATGCAGAACTTCGAAACAAGCAGAACAAGAGGAGCAACATAATCTTCCCTGAAAGAGAGCCAAGCCATATAGGACCATTGCAGCAGACCCTGAACCTCCCAAGGATGAATCATGTGCAAGTTCCATCGGTTGAAATGAGCAATGATCTCTATTACCAAGCCTCCAATTGAGAGAGCAAGAAACACCTTGATGAACCTGTATAACCTCCCTCTACTCTTAGGACCCTCGTCGCTCATGTCAGCCAGTGAAACGCGCTTCTTGACCAAAGCAAAAGTGGATTTGAGACCATTGGTCAACCATGACAAACATGTCATAACCCTGTGGAGTTTAAGGAGAAGAAACCACGTGAACTGCTTGCGACTTGTGGCTTTCTGCTTCTCTGGAAACATGGGAGAGTCCGAATCATGAGCTTGCAACAAGGTGAAGTTGTTGGCACTGGACTTCTCAGCTGTTGTGACAGCAGAATTTGGTGCCATTACTCTCTTTTTCTGTCAATTCTGTGCAAGTTCTCGGGAATGAAAGAATGAAAGAAAACAAAAAATAAAAAAGAGAAGATTTTGGGAAAAGGGTTAATGCTCCTTCACCAATCAAAATCGAAGCTAATCAGATACCTTCCCTCAACATCAAGAATGTATCAAAAACAAAAGACAAAACACTCAAAAGGGTCATTCCCAGATGAGACTTTTCCCTCTGTTGTTTGGTTTCAAACCTGAACTTAAGCAAATCTCAGAGGTTCTGATAAATTCTGAGTTTAGAGTTTAACAGAGAAAGACACTTTGAGGAGCTTAAACTAGGTATTAATAGTATTCATATTAACAACCATAGCTTAAAAATATGATTTTTTTATCATGGGGTGAAACTTGAGAACAAGAATAAATTGTACTCTCTTTATCCTTTGGATGTGTCTCTTGAATGGTTAAATTTGAAGAATTTAAGGTAAGGAAGGTGAAAGAACAGGCTGGCATGGTGAGCAATGTTTGGTAGACACGTAAAGAACCACACCATAAAGAGTTACACCTCAATCACACCATAAACTTTTTTCCTCTCAGTGTGACAATAAGATACAGCTAAAGTGCAGATCACACCAGAGAGAAATGCTTGTTGTCTGCTGTAAACGAATCACCACAGAAATTTCGCCCCTCATCACCCTCTTTCCTTCTATTTTTCCCACCTTGATCGTAATAATAATATTAATATTAATTATGATTTATTAATACGTAATACAGATTAATGATCTCTTTTAACAAATTCTTAATTTCAGGAGCATTAGACTTCAATCAGATTAAAATCTTATGAATCATGATCAAAAGAAGAAGATTTGATTAAAGGTAGTGAATTGAGTTTTTGTTATTTTATCATTTAAAATTTTCATAAATAAAACAATGAATAATACATGTCTTTTTTTGTTATGATTTTATTAAAATAGTTTACATCCTCAATGAATAGATTAAGTGAAGAATAAAGTAATTGAAGTGAGAGAGAAATTATAAAAAATAATTTGACAGCAGATTGTGAGATGGGAACATTACTTATCTTAAACTGTGTTGAAATGTCAAAACTGGACAACACAACACAATCTCAAGATGTTTTGTAAATAATGTTTTACTATGAAAAACTTTTACATTATTAATAAATCATAAATAAACATTATGAAGTTATTATTACTGATTCAAATTTAACATATATAGACCAAACCTGTGATTAGATGACAGCATAAAATTATTCTGTTGTGTAGTTTACTTTTTATATTTAGACAATAATAATTTTCAAATTGTTTTTTCAATAAACTAACATTGGTTAATTTATGCTTTAAAAAGTTGTACAAATTAACTTATATACAAAAACTAACTTTAGAAAAAAACAAAACACATACACTCAATATATAACATATAAAGAAATAGAGAATTTTTTATTTTGGTGTCCACGTTTGTTTTCAATTTTATTTTTTAAATAAATATCGTAAAGAGAATTTTTTATTTTTGTTTTCACATTTATTTTTCAATTTTATCTTTTAAATAATTTTTTTCAATTAAGATAACTATTTTATTAATTTTACTTCTTAAATGATTTTTTTTAAATTAATCATTTTTTTAAACTTAATTATTTTATTATAAAATAAATAAAACTATTTATAACAAAGATAAAAATTATTTTAACTTTATGATTATAATAATAATATTTTTATTATTTTTTATTATCATAAAAAATATATGAAGCGTAACACATATGTTCACTGTATATTAGTGATATTTTATATCTATTATCTATATTAGTATTATTATATTATGAAAAAATTCTTCATTTTAGTGTACATATTTGTTTTTTACATTTACCTATATTATTACTATATTATTTTTTAAATTAAAATAGTTATTTTACTAATTTTATCCATTTTTTAAAATTGATACTTTCAATTTAATATTTTTTAAAATTAAAATAATTATTTATAATAAAATTATAAAAGTCACTTATATATACTTTATAATTATAATAATTATAATTTTTTTTATTATTATAAAAAGATTAAAGACACATACGCGCACATAGCATATATTGCCATTAGTATTATATAAAATAAGTTTATTAACTTCTAGAAAATTAATTTTAAAAGATATATTTCTTAGATTTTCTACTAACTGATAAATATAAATTACTGCATAAAAATTTAAATTTCTGAAAAGATTATTAATTTTGTAATAAGAATCTTAACAATCATAGAAAATTATGTGGTTTGTTCACAGAACTGATGCCTATTAAATTCATAACTAATATGGCCGTGCACAAAATATATTTTTTATTTATTACCTTTGTTAGAAAAGTTTATTAATTTTTTTAAATGATACGGCTTAGAAAATTATTTATTATGGACTTGGTGCAGTGCACTATTAATTGTTTACTATATTATAAGTTATTACACTTGTCAAAATTGTTGTTATTAAGTGAATTTTAGATTTTTTTATTTTGTGTTATTTGA